AAAAAAAACAAAAAAAAAAAAAAAATCAAAAAAATTATTATTTTACGAGTAACCAAGTGGTTCATGATTTACGGATCACCTTCTATATCTTTATATAAAATTTCTGGAACATTTTAAAGAGTTGAAAAAGTTAACTCTTAAGCAAAAGTCACTATTTTGTATTCTCTTCTGTAGGCGGACAAAGAGTCAAATTTCCAAAAAGTATATACCTAATGATAACAAAATATCTAATGTAGTATTCATAAAAAATTTTTTTTTCTTATATATAAAATATATTCATATATTATAGACGAAATTAGACTTTTGTGTTAAAAAAGTTTGATCGACTTTTCAATGACTTTTTTTTTTTTTTGTTGTATTTTAGTGAAACTTTAAAAGAGAAATTAAATTACCCAACATTTTTTCCTACTTAGTTATCTCGCCATTCGAAAACCAAATGAATCTATTATACAATTGTCTAATATACAAAGTCTAAAAAGATATAACCTTTTAGTTTTCATCATATTTTTGTTATTAAAAATAATCGATCCAATGTAGTTAAAGCGCATTAAAAAATGTTTGAATAATTCTAATTATTATTCATCGACATATTATCACTTATGGTTCGTAATATGGTCGTAATAATAATTTACACTGATAAAATGAGACTATTGTGTTTCAAATAAGTAAGAAATTCTATACGCAATCTATTATTGTTCAGGTTTTTTCCTTTTTATTATTTTGTCTCGTATAAAATAATTTTAAAGAATTATTCTTAAATTTAAAAATTTAAGTTTAAAAATTCTGTGACATTTTTGTGCTTGGTGAAGTTTTACGCTTATTATCCGGAAAAGGTCCTAAATATTTTAGGTCAGATCTAATCAGCCAGATCGTATATACGCTTTTGATAAATATATATATATATATATATATACTATAGACATATAAATTATAAAATTGTATACAAATATATAAACAATATCTACAGTTAGAAACCACTGAATGAAAGCATACTGTAAAATAACTATATTAGGCTATCATTTAGAAGTCGCATGTGAAAATCATCATTATTTATCGGTTTAGTAAAAATTTAATTAATTAATTTATTAAATCTTATTAATTGTTACACTATTCTTAACTCAACTTCTCTCGATGTAATTTCTTTCATTCATTCAGCTGGTTTTTTAATTTAACGATTTTTTACTGTAACTTTATTGTAATTTTGTTGATGTAAGATCATTTGTACTATATTTTTATTTTTTTTTCTCTTTTTATTTAATTGTTAAGCTATAATAATACTTTGCATTGAAAGCTAATAAAAAAAAATAATAATAATAATAAAAATTTTCATAGTGAGAAAATAATTTGAAATATAATATTATATTAATCTTTATTATAATATAATAATCTTTATGTAGTTGATCAACGGTAATTATGGATATAAATGTTTAATTAAAAAAAAAAAAAGTTCGGGCAAAGTGAATAGTTATAATTTTCCAGGTTAAAATTGTTATTAAGGCTACAACTGTTGCGAAGGTATCTATTAATTAATCTATTAATGAGATTGATTGGAGTAATCTTAATCTAAGAAAAATGTTTTATTTGATTTGATTTGTTCATTTTTGAAAAAGTTATGGCAGTTTTGAGTAAAAAAGTTGAAAAAACTATCAATTTTTAAATACGTAATTTTTTTGGAGGTTTCCCCCCATTAACGGGGAACGAGGGAATTTTTTTTCAATTTTTAAGGGTAATGTCTTCGACTAGATACGATTTGTGATCTTTTGACGCATCGTTGAAAGAAATCGGTTCGGCGAGAGCTGAGAAAAAGTGGTAACAAAAAAAAAAAAAAAAACACATCATAGTAAAACAAATACTTTCTCAGCTTCGCATCGAAGCTAAAAACAAAAAAACATATCATAGTAAAACCAAAACTTTCACAGCTTCGCATCAAAGCTAATATTTAGCAACAATACTTCGTACTAATTTTTGCTCTTAAATTTAACCTATACTTTACCCGAGTTTATATCATCACCAAATACTACACAGATAAAATTATTTAGTAAAATAAAAAAAAAATACTAAATCAAGCTTAAAATAACAGTAAAAGATTATAGATTACTACACATAAAATATTTATACACCTATTATTATTACAAATTTTTTATATCTATAAAATTTACTTTTGTAATTATACATCTGTAAAAAATATTATTACTAGATTTTCTAAACTTAGTATTTGGTTTATAATCATAATCGACTTTTTATTATACCTATAAAAGTATAATGATGCCTGTATTCGTTTTAGTGCATGACAGGTACGAAACCTAATCCCTCTCATCAGTTTATTTAGTCACTAGTACAGGACATTTGAAATAAATATAGTAAAAAAAATGTGAAAAGATTTAAAAATGGTCAGAACATCTTTAAGAAAATTTAAAATGAATTTTAATAATAACATTTAATTAAATTGATATTATTGAATAAAATTTGGAAAATACTTAAAAAAAAAAAAAAAAGTTTTTTATGACAATAACAGAAATCTCTGGATTTGGGCTACGAGTTATTATAATAAAACATATATTATGATGAATCCTGTAACATTATCATATAAAGTATATAATGGTCTAAATTGTAAACAAAATAATTCATTCCGGTAGCAATCTAGCGAAATTATAACGTTTTTATAATTAATAATATGTCAATATTTTAAATTTCACGATCCAAATTCTATCAGACATAAACTTAAACTCTTTGATTTTAACTAAAACTAACCTTAACTAGCTAAATATCTAAATAATATTATTTTTTATTTTATTATGTTTATAAAACCGTAAATAAAATAAAATCTAAATAGTTTATTTGACAAGGAAATTGAACAATGAACATTATGGATTCATATATTTATTCTGCAAAAAGTGTCTTTATAAATATAAGCAAATATATAATTTTACTATTCAGAAGTTATTAGTATCCTATAGACTTTAATTAACAAAAAAGTTAATTCCTTAATTAGAAAAAGTATATTCCTCTTAAAATATTACCAAATACGTTTTTTAAATGGTAACATAAATATTTACTATAGTAACTGGCTAAAAATAAGAAAATAATCTAACTAACAGAATGACTTATCGATTACAACTTTTGGAATCATTATTTAAAAGATATAAGTAATTTTACAACGGACGGAAGGAAAAGATTAAAAAATGCTTAGAGATAAAAATAAACAGACACACGCTTCACCTTTATCTTTTAATTTTTAAGTGTTAATAACATACGAAATATTTGTTCTAGTGTATAGAATACAATTAATTTCTGAATAGAATAAATTATATATTTTTGAAACAATTATATGAGACACAGTAAACGGACCATCTGTATTTGATACATAAAACAAAATAACAATATAAGAATGTTTATATAACAGTTTAGGCGTTCTTAATTGATTGGAGATTTTTTTTTTATAAAACTAATATATTACAACTTAAACAAAATAGTATATTTTGTTTTATCATAAAGATAGCGGTTTTATATTATGTTTAATGGATAATTAAATTGATGTCACTATTTTTAATAAACTATTTTTTTGCCAAATAAATTTACTTATTTTTAATAGTAAAACACAATATTAAAATCTTTCAGTTGTTCTTACCTCATTCCGATTTCTACAATTGCAAGAAAGATACCTAGAAATAGCAATCGAACTCCAAACATACTGGCTAAAGCTCTTAATAAACTAGGTTTACGATTTTTTAATTTTGCATTCGCTAATTCTATCAGCCAAACCCTTTAATAAATAATAGATATTACTTATAGTATAATTTTTAAAAAATTAAATTGTATAGCTTAAAAGCTATAAATAAGTTTATACTTGTCTAATTTATTTCCCAGATATGCAGATTTATGTACATCTAAAGTTTTGTATAAATCTTCAACTTCCAAATCTCTTTTTTTGCCTTCATTGAACAAATTTAATGTCCAACTAAAAATAAAATACAATATATTTATTTTAAAACAATTACTTGATGTAAAGATATTTTATTACCTGAAGGTTAAAACTTCGAGAAAGTTAGCTTTAGATCTTGGATGAGGAGGACGCTCCTTTTTAAAACCAGCATCCATGTTGAGTCTAAGACAAATAAAAATAATTTAACCAATTAATTTCATAAATAATAAAATATTATTATTATTATACACTTCAGAGCAAACATATAAGATCGTAATAATTGTTGATTTATTTTTTATGTAAGAACAAAAAAAAAAAAAATGTAATTAAATAATAAAATTAATATTATGAAATTTTTTATCGTTAACGGATAAATTTCTCGTAAAATAATAGAAATTTCGAGGATTATTTTACTACTTTATTTAATATTACCATCACATGAGCCAAATTTGGCCATTAAATATCTATTATTATTTTAATCGTATAAATCTTAAACACTAATTAAATTTCTAAAAATAATGTAAAGAAACACAAATATTTATTCACAAATTAGTCATGAAATCTGTAAAATATTTAAATGCCCCCCTTTAATCACTAGCCCATGTAAGCCATTTAATAATGATTATTTCTTATTTTATAAGTGACTAAATAATTTTTTCCCTTATCTTTTATAAGGATACTAACTTTATTTTTTGTAAAGTAACATACATTTATTAGACTAAACATTAAAGGATGAAAATATTGGACTTTTAAATTATTCATAAAATATGGGTCGTTCAGGTAAGGTTATGGACTGGGAAAAACGTTTACTGTCTTCAATCATAATACCCGCAGGTTTTGGTATAGGTGGTAAGCTACTTACAACCACTAGATTTTCTAAAGAGCAAAAATATTTAACTCTTTTAGATCCACGGTACATTACTGTGTAACTATAAATTTTCTCTTTTGTTTCTAAATTTTCAATGATAAATTTATATTGACAACAGAACTTCCAATTCAAAAATATACTAATAAAAGATATTATCAAAAAAGCCAAAAATGTATTTTTATGTTCAAAAAATTTAAAGTTGAAAATAAATTTCTCTGGAAACTATATTTTAGCATTTCCATTATTAAAAAAATTATTTTGGGTCATTTCAACTAATTATGAAAAGTTGGTTCTAAAACATTTAAAACGTGAATGAAAATAACATTAACTTCATTTATAAGATTAAATTATTAATGTTATATTGATGTACAAAAAACAAGTAAAAATAATATATTGTTTACCATTTGTTAGTAAATTCTACTGCCAAACTAAAAAAAAAAAAGTTAAATGAAATAAAGTAATAAGAAGCTCACGTATTATATATAGGCTAATTCTATTAATATTAACCACTCAATTTCTTTTAAATAATAAATATGTTAAGAAAATAATTTTTGGAATTTTTTATTTTCATATATTTTTTAATTTACTATTTATTAAGTATTTTTTAATTAATTTCTTATAAATTAAAATGTTCTCAATTTCATTTTTTTAAATTAAAACATATATATCTAACTAGTTTTTTAAATAAAAACCAACATCCTTAATTAACTAACTAATTTAAGCAATATAGTAATGATCTAATTATCAAAATGACTGGTCAATAACTACTTTTTAGCTAATATATTAAGTTATTTAATATTTTTAAGTTCTTGAGTATAGTTGAAGAGTGGGTTCTGCAATTTTTATAACTTAACATTTCTCACCCGTAGTCTTCCTCTCACCAATATATTATAAGCATATCAATAACTATTAAAATACTGGACCAAAAGTTGTTATCGACCAGTTATTTTCTTAATTACATTATTTTCCATTTTATAAGCTAGTTAAATATGTATATTATCACTTAAAAAATGAAAATGAATCCCTTATAAAATTATATGGGATAGATTAAAAAAATCATAAATCGAGAAATATATGAAGCTAAAAAATTCCACGAAGAATTTTCATAGATAGAATATTCTATCTCCCTTAAAATTTTTACTAAATATCCGCTTTATATAAAAATATATTGATAACTTAAATAATGATTATCAAATATATATTATTATCCAAAGGTTCAATAGTGGTATTCATCGAATAAAAGACATTGAAAAGCTAGATCTTAGTGACAATAGATGATATAACCTTCAATGCATACTTATAATTATTTTCTTTGCGGGAAATAATGATAACGTTTAATATCCAAATGAAACAATAAGTTTAACTACTTAATAGCACCCCAATACTTATAAGGATTAAGTTTCATAGTAATTAAATATTAAGTAAATTATTTAATATATAATAAATACTTTATCGTACTTGTATTGACAAATAACTAAAACATTTTAGTAATATAAATAAAATATACACTAAGAAAAAATGTTAAGTTAAAATTTATAGAAATGTATGAGTAATATTATGAAATTTATAAAAACAATTTGTTACATTAATGACTTAAAAAATTACTTAGCTACATTCCTTGGCTGAAATGTGTAGTATAATTTTACATTATTTTATACTCTCGATTAACATAAATAAATAATGTATAGTTGATATAAGGGGATTGAGTGAAACGGAAATGGACATTAGATAACAAAAGAGAAAAATATCAAATCCTTATAACAGATAAGAATGAAGTTTATTACTTCGATTAATATTTATAATTGACGTTTTGCTTTTTCAATTATATAACAGTAATAAAAAAGTTAGTAACTTAAATATGTATCCTAAATCAAATTTAAAATACTCTAAACAAAGTGCAAAATTATTTAATATTGAAAACATATCTAATTTATTATTTTAAAACTAAAAAATATTTAACTCAAAAAGCCATAAAAATTAAAAAAAATTTGCGTAGAGGTATTTTGGGAACAATGTTACCATCATCAGCGTTTAACATATACTGACAAAATGAGTCATACTCAAGACGAAACTAAAATGAGACAAATTTCATAAAGAACTTCAATACAAATTAATATTTATTTATGGAAATTCAGAAGGATGATAGTATTAGAATACTTAAATATCCACCATTTTGCATATTAAACTTTAATTAAAGATTTATTTAAAATTATGAAATAATGAGTACAAAGAAGGTAATAAAAAAATACAATCATTTTATAATATTACTCGCAGTAAAAAATATATCCTAGATCCATCGATGTAAATGAGCAGAAATTAAATAATGCTCATAAAGAATATTTTCGTAAAGTAAACAGGGTAAAAGTCCATAAGGGGTAAGACATCAATATTGAAATAATTAATGTAATTTTATAGTTATAAATAATGGTTGGTGAATAATATTAAATCTTAATTTGTACTTTTTAATAGTTTGTCTAATTTAAAATAAAAAATGAAAATTGTTTGTAACTACCATATACTTAAACTTATATGGTTAAAAAAATATTTTTGTAATAAAGAGATGAAACTAGCCATTAATATTTTATTTAGTTAAATAGGAAATGTTGCGTAAATTTTTTTTTTTTTTAATAACGTTTAAAATATTAAATATTTTTGAAAACTTGACAGTTAAAAACCAAGTATGAATAATAATAAATGGGCGATACAAGTGGATAGCATAACCATACAATAATTTAACGAATATATTTTTGTATTATGTATTGTAGTTTAATATCATGCCCGCATAAGTAAATCATTCTAAATTTACGTCTTAACTTAAGGCTAGTAACTAGTTTCAAAAATTGTCCATGTATTTTAATTGTACAGAAACAGATTGTATTTTATTACAACTATAGATATATGGTAATATATTTCAAATAAAAATATCCTAAGTTATCATAAAAACTAAAAATAAGAAATCAGGTTTATAGTGTAAAAAATAGGATTAGCACGCTCAGATTTCATTATTAAACAATGATTCAATCACATATTTCCAAGAAAGGAAGAGAATTCAGAAAGACTAACATATCTGTGATAATCACTCGCAAGTGTTAACAAAAATGTTTATTCCTCAAATTTCTTGACAAAACTTTTATGATCGAAAAAATGTAATGTATGTTAACTAACTACTTGCTAAATTTATACTAAAAAAACTTGATTTACTCAATTTGCAAATAGGTACCGAAACAGCAACAATGTTTATATATATATTTCTTTATTTTTATATTATAGAATCAAAATAATCATAGTCACCATATGCAGTTTTCAATTTAGTTGTATATACTTTTAATCTTATAAAACGTAAAAAAATGGTAATGTATACATTATAGTATTATACTACACCATATTTTTATAATTTTGAAGTTATTTGTTGATGTTGTTAGGGCAGAGATCACTGCGGCGTTCTATAGAATACCTTAATATAATTGTCAATATAACATAATTATTATGATAAAACTTTTTATGCTTCTATTTTTTTTTTTTTTTTTTTTGAGAAACAAAAATCAATATGTTTTAAAGACGTATTTTAACAAATATATCTTCAAACTTTTAATAATTTAGTTGGTAATCCTATAGTTCAATAAGATGTTTAATAAGACTTTAACAATTATGAAAAAAGAAAAAAGACCAACGATACAATTAAATTAAAATATCTTAATAAAATTATATGCCTCAATCTAGTAAAATTTAAAATGACAAGCTATACTGTATACTTTCAATAAGTTATATATAAAACTAAGTATTTGTAACTAACGAATTATAAGAATTGATATAATTAATATTGTTAATAGGAATTGTTACGGTCGACTATTATTTATTATTTTTAGAAATTGGAAGAGAAAAATTCAAATTTTACAATGAGAAAATTGCATTGAAAAATTCTCTCAGTAAGCATAAGATTTTACAAGGCTTAAAAGAATAGTTAGCAAGATTATTGACCCAAGATTAAATGGGACATATGATTTTGAAAATATCGTGCAACAACGAATTTTTTAACAATATTTAAAAACAGTTAATCTCAAAATTTGAAAATATTATGAACATTATGAAAATATTTAATATTTTAACAATGCAGAATACACTCTATTGTAAACATTGTTCTGGAAATGTTCTCCGCGGCTTATTACAATGACAGAAAACGTTGTTAAAACATTTTTTTTTTTGTTGCCAAAAAGTGATGACGTTTTAAAAACATTTGATCAATTTAAATGTTTATCATAAAATATTTTCAAAATATGTTTTAAATATTTTATTGCTACATGAGTACTTGTTACTA